CAGGGTTAAGTCGATAGGGTAGCTATAAGATTATAACAACTATTGTATACACTTTCTCCCGTTGTCATGTTAAAGAATTATGGTTCCGTTATTTTTATTATTCATAATATTTATCAAGTTTTCATGTTTTTAAAAAGTGCACCTGCCATATAGTACAAATATATAATAAATTTTAAAAAATGTTATTTTTCAAGTGCTACTTTACAAAAATGTCACATTTTTACGATCTTTGCAAAAATACTATTTTTTCAAAATTATTTATTCATTATAGGGAGATTAGCTAGAATAACTTTTTTTTTTAAATAGTTAGAATAATCTTACTATTTTTTTATTGATGAAATAACCTATTCTAAAATTTTTTTCTTTCATAATACCAAAATTGTCTTTCGCAGACTTTGCCGAGGTACTTGAAGACTTTGCCGAAACATTGGCAGACTCTGCCAATATCTAAAAATATGCAGGCTCTGCCAAAACATTGGCAGACTCTGCCGAACATTGGCAGATTTTTCCGAAACATTGACAGACTCCGCCGAGGTATTGACAGACTCTGCCGAGGTATTGGCAGACTCTGCGAAAACATTGGTAGACTCTACCGATATATTGGCAGAGTCTGCCAATACATCGGTAGAGTCTACCAATGTTTCGGCAGAGTCTGCCAAGGACAATTTTGGTATTATAAAAGAAAAAAATCCAGAATAGGTTATTTCAGCAATAAAAAAATGGTTAAGTTATTCTAGCTATTTGTTTTTAAAAAGTAGGTTCTTCTAAGTAAATTTTTCTTCATTATATCATTTATGTTTTGATTAACTATGTTGTATTAAGGTTTCGTTTTGAGGGTTTAAGGGATTGTAGGAATCAAAGATTTTTTAAAGTTTAGAATTTTAAGATTTAGACTCTAAAAAATCATAATTAGTGGTATTTTTTGCAAATAAACACTAAAAATGATATTTTTGCAAATGTTAACACAACATGTGACATTTTTGCAAATGTCCCTTTTCATTGGAGGAAACGAACCGTCATTAGTCAACAAAATTTAGTTTTTACTATTGTTTTATAACTATCATGCATTAAACTTTATAAAATTCAACTCTTTCGTTATTTGGTAATTTAATTATTTTGCTATTCCACTGTTCTGCTGATATACCAGTTATGTTTATTATTAAATTTGGTGCATTTGTGTTTGGCAATGATAAAGTTTTAGTGATTTTTTTGCGGAATTTTACAGAATAACTTTAAATTTAAATGGTAACAGCGGAATCTTGCGGAATTTTTGAAAAATAATAAATAAATTAAATTTATTAACATTGTATTTTATTGAAATTAAATAACTATGTTTAAAAATGTATTAAAGTTTACAAAATAATTATATTTTATTAAATTATTTTCTAAAGCTAACTTATTTTATCAAAATAAAATATTGATAAAAAAATAAACTTAAATACAATACATATTTTTCAAATTATAATCTTTCAATAAATTATTTTAAAAACATTACAAAATGATAATCTTTTATTCAATTATTTTTTTTCTTCTCGACAAAATTATTTAGTAGTCTAAAGACTGAAGTTTATAAACTTATATAGACAAGTTCAATCTATATCCGTGATTATTTTTTCAATTAGGTATCAATTAATTAGTTTTCACAATTTCATATTTGATATATCTTTTGTTTTTAATGTACATGTCATAGGCTCAATATTCCACAACATTCCACAAAATTTCCTTAGCTGGTGTAAGTTAAGAAAACTTCCACAACATTCTACACAATTCCACAATTCTTTTTACACCATTTAAGCCCTAAATTTGAAATGACAAAAATTAGTGACAAAAATAATTAAAAATATTATTTTTTATATTACTAATTATTCTTGATTTTGTAATTAGTAACCATCAAAGCATATATTTTAGTGTTGTAGCAAAGATTACCAAAAAAAACCCACCGATTAATTTTTTTCTCATTATTAGGGATATCAAAATGGGTAACCGATCCAACCCGACCCATTTATTATATGATTTGAATTTACATACTTAAACTCATTAACATGATATCTGTTAGCTAAATGAGTTATATGGGTATCCATATACAAACTAAATATCATCATAAACTAATTAAAAAATCTGGGGAAATTAAAAAAATGTCATTTTTGTGTGTACATTTGCAAAAATGCTATTTAGAGATGTCTATTTGCAAAAATACCAATAATTATAGATTTTTAAAACCTAAATCTAAAATTATAAACTCTAAAAAATGTTTTGATCCCCAAAAACCCCTTAAACCTTCAAAACTAAACTCTAATACAACATAGTTAACCCAAACATAAATGATATGATGAAATTTTTTTTTGAAAAAGTGGCATTTTTTCACAAATTTTGAAAATGTGGCATTTTTGAAAAGTAACATTTGAAAAGTGGCAATTTTGAAAAATTTCTCTCAATAGAACCATAAACCAAGATTAATTTTAAAAAACACTTGAATCTTCGTTAGGTTCCTCTGCTTCCTCGTCATCATCATCAGTTTTATTATCTACAAATAAGAAGAAAAATATATCATCAATTGAAATAATATTAATAGCTATTATTAAATCA